TGAGGGGAAGTTTTGTAAACTTTCAAAACTTTTCATTTCTTGTAACTTATGAGTTTAATAGAGTAATAAAATGAAGACTCTTCATTTTTCTAACTCTTGTGTTCTTTTAATGGTTTTTTAATCCAAGTGACTTTTGGTTTTCCATAACTTAAGGACAAGTTATGAACTCCATTAAAACACATTATGATCAAGAATTAAACTACCACATAGGTTACAAATAATTCCTATGATCATCTAAACATCATAAGATCAAGACCATGAACATAAGCACTTTCATGAATCAAAATCACACTTAAACTTTGTAATCTTGATAACTAGTTGTTGTAAATGAATTAGCAAAGACATTACACCATCTAAAACAAGTTTTCAAGTACCAAAACAGTTTAGGGTAATGTTACTAATCCATTTCCAACAACTAAAGTCGAAAATCTGCACTCTGTCGCCCCTACTCGCCGAGTGCATGAACCTACTCGGTGAGTAGGTTGAAGATACAAGTGAACTCGGCGAGTCTCCCCATGGACTCGGCGAGTTCATCAGGCAGACAACAAGTTTTTCCGACTTTTTTCAACTTTTAAGCACAAATAACAAACAAACAAGCCTAGGCTCTGATACCACTGATGGGTTTTGAGCATTCTAACACTTCCTAAGTGTACATGCAACCCTAATAACCTTGGATCTATGTTTGTCTAATTATCATGCAAAGTTGAATTCCAAGGTTATATTCCTATCTAGCATACATGGGGAACAACTTTTTACTTGAATGAAAGATAGAATAACTTACCTTGTTGTTGCTTATGTTCCTTGAAACCTGGTGAGCCTAGCACCCCAAGTGTGATGCCTCAAATGCTTCACACAACACCAAATGCTCTTGGAAAGACTTTTGAGAGAATACACACTTCTTGAAATCGGCCTAGCCCTCTAGTTTCTCATGTGTATATGTGTGTAGCCAATTTTGTGGAGAATGGGACTCTTATATAGTGTTGACACATCTAGGGTTACACCATGTAAACCCTAATGTGTCATGACTCTTCATTTCCATGACCCATGGGTTTGTAACTCCCATGGAGCATCCATGGAGCATCCTATGGGTAGAACCCAACTTGATAATCCATGGAGCCTCTTAGCCCACTATACAAGATATGAATGATTTACATAATCAACCCATATATTTAATTAGTTATCTTTTGATCACTTAATTAATTCTAAATTAATTCTTTATCAAACTAATTAAATAATATTATTAATATATTAGAACTTATAATATATTAATAATCTCCAAGTGTTATTACTCTCATTTAGTCTATCCAATTGCATGGTGCCATGCAACCCAAATGGACCATGCCGGGTCGGGTTAAGTACACACCAGAAATAGTTATGGACTTAGACACCTTATCCAACATTTAGAAGGTGGCTACATCATTTGTTAAGGAGGGGTGGCAAACATCAAAGCTTGATGTGCCACACTAGAAGAGGATGTGCCACTCTTGCACAAAATATGCTATTTTGGTATAAGTGTGTGCTACATGCTCAAGGAATACACCATGATGGGCCACCAAGATGGTTGATGGACAAATAGTGTTCATGATGCGCCACTTGTGCATCTTGATGCTCAATTATGACTCATGATGCTCCATCATGTGTGCCGCTACATGGCAGAATGTCATTGGTTGACACCACTAATGGGCTTTTAGATTAATAGACATGGATCATTAGGGTTTGAGGTATGAACCCTAGTCTATAAATAGGGATTCCTGCTAGTCATTTGTTTTTATGTCTTTGATTATAGAGTGATATCGAATCTCCTTTTAAGTGTACTTGTAACCTTTGTTTGAGAAATCGTAACTAAAGAATACTCCCCTCATGCTTGTGGATGTGGATCGCCTTGACTGAACCACATAAATATTGTTCCTTGTGTGTACTTCTTTTTGTGGTTTATCCACATTACTTCCTAAGAAGTGATATTATAGTTGTGATTTGTGTTCCTATGACTTAAGATGTCTGCTCGCAATTTTGATATGTAGATGTTCAATGGTTCAAATGACTTAAATTTATGTAAGGTGAAGATGAGGGATCTTCTAGTTCAACAAGCGTGTGCAACAATACTGCAAGGAGAAGCGAAACTGACAAAGGACATGTAGACTGAAAAGAAGTTGGATATGTTGATGAAGTCGCATAGTGTCCTTCTGTTGAGTTGGACAAATGAAGTATTGATAGAGGTTGTGGATCAAACAAGTGCTTCTGGGCTCTGGGAGAAACTTAATGACAAATAACATAACACTTATCTGCGAGCAGGCTATATTAGAAGCAACATTTGTACACTGTTAGAATGTATGAAAGTAATTGTAATGTCTAGAAAACTGTAATATTTTTTTTCATTTTTAAAGTCTATCAAACCTTCATTAATTGTTCAAAAGCAACACCATGTCATGATATTCAAAACAGCAGAGTACAATTATCCCAAATAAGGAAATCATGAGGGAGGATGATGTGCCATCACGCCGTGCTCTTCCATTTCGAACCGGGAATACCTGAAACCATAAACGTAAACTGTATGCAAAAAGCTTAGTGATTTCCCCAAACTACCACATACCAAAACGTATAAGTACCATGGGCTACTCTCATCTTCCTTGCAATGCCGAGGGCCAAATACCATTCTTCCATACAAGTGCCATGGGCTACCCCTAGAGTCTTTCCTTGTAATGACAAGGGCCAAATTCCGGTCTTACATACAAGTGCTAGGGGCCAGATCCTAGTCTTGCATAAAATTGCCAAGGGCCAGATCCTAGTCTTTCATACAATTAACAAGGGTCAGATCCTAATCTTTCATGCAATTATCATAGAGACAACTAGTATTCCACAAAACAAGTAATGAGTCGGCATTGGTGCCATCGAGCCAGGGATCTAATGAGAAAACTCACCTCCAAAGAAGATAATCGTGCCACACACACAAATTGCTGGTAAAACGGCTCCTCATACTAAAGATAACCCAAGAAAATAACCATAATTAATAACCTAGATTTTTATTTCATAACAACTGGTCCAACCAACCCCATAATCTACACAGGGGAAAAAAGGTCATTTTCCCTCCCCATTCGGTCAAAACCCTAAAAATCCGAACACTAATAACCCAAATACCAAAAGAATCGCCCAACACTGGTGTTGGGTCGTACGCCTAACATACTATCTTGTACGCCCTACATACACGTCCAAGGCGAAAGGGAATCAGGTTCGAGGTGTAGTACGCATAGCGTACTGGGTTTTATGCCCAACATACACATCCTAATGCCAAACTCCCGTTAAGTTCTTAATTCCTTAAGACCCTATGTCTAAACTTCATATATGTGCTTATTAAGACCTCTAAAGCCATAAAGTTGCAAACTTGTTGCCTTTGCATTGATCCAAGGAACCCAACACTAACAACCTAACTTACTCAATTATATTCTACACCATAACTCTTGCATGGGGATAAAACCAAGATCCAAGCGAGCACTTTTATGACTTAAAATACCTAAAATGTCTAAAAGGACAACTTAATGGATTTGGAATACCTCATACTCACTAACACCTAGGTTTTGGGACAAAAGAGAACAAAACCCAAGCTTAACCAAGATCTAGAGAAACATGAGCCAAGTGTTTGGATTAAAATCCTTAACGATCAATTAGATTCAACAACAGATAAGCCATGAACACAATAACGATTCAATAGAATTGAATGATTAAGTGTGACACCTCAGAAGAATTCTATGAAGAATTGCTACTGTAGAGGCGTGAGTAGGGTTACAAAGTAAAAGATAAGAGTTAACTAAAATACGATGCATGCATGCATCTTAAATACTTTAACCCTAGAATAAATAATGAGCGGACAGGACCAACTCGATAATAAAAACGACTAAGTAAAAAGCCCAATGACGCAACATTGAATATCCAACAACCTCCCCCTTTGCGTTAATTGAGGCACGAAACCATTAGCCTTGGATTCGCTTCTGAACTTTATAGACTTTGGGAATGATGCCAAAAATTGTCTGTCAAACTTGCATGTACCACAAAATCATATCAGAGAAGCACTTGACGTCATCTTTGTTGTTGCCATTGAATCTCTTAACCATATCCAATATATGCTCAAGGATTTTAATAGTGAACAAATGTTTGTCAGAAAGGAGGAAACAACCTCTGCGATAGTTTGCACCGGTTTGTTCCCTAGCTTGATTCACCACATACCATTCTTTGTTGTAGATCTTCCCCGGCTTCAGCTTCTCCAAATCTTTTGGAAATTCCTTAAGAACAGCAGAAGGCTTCTTTCGCAACACCGTTGCAACCTCTACATCCACATCACCAATCTCTTGAATGTAAGATTTGATCATTATTTGGAGATGAGACATGTTAGGTTCGTATTTCACTTTTTCTTTCAGCAGCATATTGTAAAGAACGAACCAGTCATTGGGGTTGAGACAAGGTAAGTCTGTGAGAGTAAGCTCGTAGCATTGACTGGTTGAACCTCTTGCGACTTTGAACTTCGCGTTCGTAAAATTATCAGTCTTGATTAGTTCAGTGATTTTCACTTTAGTTATTTTTTCAAGGACCAGGTCTCGTATTGAGGCTTCATGTGCTTTAGATTCAATGAAAACAACATCTGGTCAGCTCCGCTGTCGGTGATGGGAGCGTTTGCAACCTTCACAAAAGCACAAAACCTGAAAGCATTTGGAGTGATTGCTAGATCCAATTGCAAATCTTGTGTGTTTTGAAGATCAAAAGACACCGTTGGCTCTAACCAATATTGGCTGGGTAAATCTACTGCATCATTTTGGATTCGGTTCATAGTCCATGCAGGAAACAAAAGCTTCTTGCTTTGAAGAGTGGCTTGAGCCTCTTTCTCAGTTATTTCTTTTTTGTCAGCCTCGCGAATGATACATTGGTGCTCATCCATTTTGTCTTCATGAGCCTTTTGTCTTTTTAATACAGCTTCATCCAGTTCTTCTTCTTCGTTCTCAATGATAGGATCATCACTGAACAATTTCTTTGAGCTTGGGTTCTTTCTTGACAACAGGAGGAACTGGAGTAACTGGTTTAACAAATTTTTTAACAGCAGGTTTAGGATCTACTTTTGTTGATGCCCCTTCCCCATTGTTTCGGAAATAAACCAGATTCCGGAACTCCCTACAATCTGTGAAACATAGCGGAAACAGGTCTCACCTTTTCAAGAAGATGCTTGCGAACAATGATGGTGAGCATGGAATCCCTAGTCTTCAGGATATCTGACAGCATACATGTAACATCAGCAATGCAACTTCGCATGACAGCCTTCTCAGATAATAAGTCTTTGACCTGGTTCTTTAAAATTTCCAGTTTCGCACTTAACACCTTTACTTCTTCGGAATTGAGTTTGAGAGAGTCCTTGATGGTACTCTCTTTTACCAGTTCGTCTTTCAGCTGTGAAATCTGACAAGAGATAGTGGCTTGAAAAGTTTCAAGGTAAGTTTTTAGACCAGTGAGAATCGCTTGCAGTTGAGTCCTCTTAGATTTGAAGAGAGATCCCAGATCCTTTGTTGCTTTATTGGCTGATGAGGTGTTGTTGTTGAAAGTAGTTTGGAAGTTCTCCATGAAAGTGGTACTTTCAACAATTAGTTTATTGACATTTTTGGTCGTGGTCTTGCAAACTTCTGCAGAATCAGCAACAACCTTGTTCATTTTGTCTGCATTGGCTGTATGCTTTTTGGAGATTCGTTCAAAGAGCAAATCAACGACGACTTTAGCATACTCATCAGAAGTGTAAGCCTTGGCAGAGAGAAATAATTTTTCAATCTTTTCATGAAGGGACTGAAGTTTCCCTTTCGTAACTTGCACCTCGTCTTCACTCTCAGTTTGGATTTGAAAACGACAATAAGTAAACTCTCCCCCCTAGATCTTCATCTTCATCATCACTGAAGACCATATATGGGTTATTTCGGTTAATAGGTGAAATAGGAGGGGATATGTGAGACGAGAGCCCTGAAGTTTTAGCCCCCGTATCAGATACATTGACTGAATCAACAGGTGGGGTTGAGGTAGTTGTAGGAACTTTGGAATCAGTGAACAGTGGGATAGAGAGAGAAATGTTGGTTTGAGGTTGAGAAGAGACTGGTGGAGGGCATGGTGCGATGGTGATTCGGATAGAGGTGGTTTTAAGGGAAGGAGGTGGAGAAGGAAGAGAATCATAAAAAGTTTAAGTTACCTCATGATTAGATATCTCCTCTGTGTTGTGTACTATTTCATCTTCATTGTGAACATGAACTTCCTCCTCGACATGAATATCTGACTGAGAGTCATACTCCGAACCTTCACTTGCACTTGGTGTCGGGGTCTTTCGCTTGCAAACATGCTGCTTTTGCCTTTAAGGATAGGTTGCAGAAGGAGTAGTTTTTGTGGGATTAGTGTCTAAGACTATAACTATACTTAGTATGTACTTGACCTGATTTGGCATGGTCCATTTGGGTTGCATGGCATTGGAACAATTGGATAGACAAAAATGAGAAAAAGGATACTAGTGATTTATATTAATATATTATAAGTTCTAATATATTAATATGGAATCATATTATTTAACTAGTATTGATCAAGAATTAATTTAGAATTAATTTAGTGAGCAAAAATGAACTAATTAAGTATGGACTCTTATATATATAGGATGGGCCAAATTCATTTGGGTTGGGCTAAGCTTTCATGGATAGTCCATAGAGTGTTTAACCTATGGATCCTATGGAAATGAAAGGTCAAGGGTTTTAGGGTTTACATGAATGTAACCTTAATCCTCCACACTATATAAAGAGGTCCTTAGGTCATGAAATGTGCACTAGTGTATAGTACACAAGAGGGCAAAAACCGATTTGGTGCAAGTATCATTATTCTCAAGTTATTACAAGGGTTTTTGGTGTTGTGTGAACCATTTGAGTGCAACACTTGAGGCACTAAGCTCTTAATGGTTCAAGACTTCAAGCTCTATCAAAAGTTATGTCATTCTACTAGATTCTTGTAGTATAGTTGCTTCATATTATGCTAGTTAGGATGAAACCTTGGAATATTGAATATTTTCATGTATAATAGAGAAAACATAGATCCAAGGTTTATAGGATTGCATGTACACCATAGGAGTGTTAGAATGTTCAAAACCCTTTAGTGGTATCAGAGCCTAAAGTTGTTTTCATTTATACTTGATGCAAATTGCTGAAAAATGCTGAAAAAATCGATTTTCTGTTGTTTTGGACAGTGGACTCGCCGAGTCCATGCACAAATTGACCCAAATCATCGAGTAGGTTCATGCACTCCACGAGTTGGACCCCCTAAAAGCATATCTTCGTGTTTTAAGGATGGAATTGGTCAAGAATCATTACCATAAACTGTTTTGGACTTATAATTTTTTTTGATGTGGTAATGATTATGGTAAACCAATTTCAAGTTTATTAACTAAATTTCAAGTTTATGTGTGTTTATGTAATTCTTGAAATTGTTGATATGATTGTTCATACCCTTATGAGTTATGGTAGATCATAGGAATTATTTGCAAATTGTTGTTAGTTAATTCTTTATCTAAATGTGTTTTAATGGATTCCATAATTTGTCCTCAAGTTATGGATTACCAAAATTCATTTCTTTTAAAGATCCATTAAAAAGCCATAAGTTACATAATTGAAGACACTTTTCTCATAAATAGTTTTATGGACTCCATAAATTGTCCTCAAATTATGGATGTTCAAGAGTCTGTTCATTAAAAGTTTTAAAAACCTTAAATAAACTCATATGTTATGAAAAATTAAAAGTTTTTGAGTTGTTCAAAACTTGCCCTCAAGTTTTGGAATTTGTAAAGCTTCCCCTCATGAATACTTTAATTCAAAGTTAAACCCTTAGAATTTTAAAATTTACAATTCAACCCTTATATTGTAATAATATTAATAGTTAATAATTATATATATGTATAAGAACAAAGTCAATCTTATCGTTAGTAGGCCACATTCACGAAGCCGGTCTATAAGGGGTATAAGGTTACTGCCTTTAAAATAGCAGTTTAAGGGGTGTCCACTCTCACCCACCGCTTCATTGACTGGTGGAGGGTCGTTAACCGAATGAGTTTGACCGAACTCTAATTCTCCATTTATTATAAGTATAATGATAAGTATAATGTAACTATACCTTTTATAAATTCCCAATCTTAGTTACTTTAGGAAAATGTGAATTGGTGCTAAACCATGAAATTACACTTTGCACTTTTCTTAAGTCGTTAGTGGAGCATGTGTGGTTAACCAGCACATCGATTTTGTGATCAAACTTAAGAGTACCAAGTATATTTGCATGGTTATTCACTCCTTTTTTGTGATCCTCGGCATCCTATTCACAAACTTGAGAGGGCACAATCGAGTTTGAAACTTGCCTTTGAAAAGTTCAATAAATATCAAAAGATCTAGGAGTTGTAAATCCAATTAAAACCTAATAAATTATTTCGTTTTCATGGTGGAAATCGGTGAATCGTCATTCGACTACCTTCAAATATTTTATAGCTTGGATTACGGCATCCCTCTTCCAAGTTATAAATTATTGTGATGGGTCCTAGCCTTAATATTTCATATTGGGTGTTATATTAAGGACTTAACTAACTTGAATTTCTTCCATTGTAGAGGTCTGGTTCAGACAACTATGATCTTTCCAAATCTCATGGAAATCATAATTCTCTTCCTCCACCTCCTCCAATTATTCTCCCTGACCCACAAGCTCAAAGACTTGAGAAGTTGAAGATCACTCAAGCCCTACTTGAAATCAAACATAAAGATGGAAGACTTGTGTGCACTCATGTCTTAGAATGAAGTCACACATTGACAGGTTGAGAATGTTAGGTGTCGTTGTCCCAAGGAAGTTGGCTATTGACTGGGTTCTTAATTCACTTCCTGAGTCGTATAGTGAGTTCATTAAGAACTACTATGTGACAGATCACGACATGACCCTAATAGAACCATCTTATTTGCTTGTTGTTGTTGAATCAGAAATGATTTGGCACAATGTTCAAGCAAATATGGGTGGAAGGTCTATTTCTCAAACTTCCATCGACATTGACAATGGTAACATTGGAAGTCCAGAAAAGCTTTCTCTTCCCAATGGAAAGGGATCGGCATTGGTCAACCCGGTTGACAAAAATGTAAAGGGAAAAGCTAAGTCTGTGATAGTCCCGTGTAGCATTCCCAAAGAGTCTATATGTTTTCATTGTCGAGAGAAGGGGCATTGGTTGCGAAGCTGCCCTGGCTACCTAAAAGATATGAGAGACGGAAGAATCAAAAAGTTTGACTCTGCATCAGGTAACTCCATTGTCTAACTCTGTTAAGTTCCTAATTGATGATTCTTAATACAAAATGTGACTCGGTTACATTTTGATGTTTGGCAGGATCAACCAAAGGGAAGGAAACTTAAAGAAAGCGTATGCTGAATCTGATCGCGAAGATGGATTTCAATCGCATGGTTCGAAGATCGGATTCTTGTGCTACTACTTAAGGTTATGAGAGATTGCTATAAAATATGTAATAGAATAGTTTTCATTTAAAGTTTCATTGTAAGGAAAAAGTTTTTTTTTCCGCATTTATAAATAAATAAAATTTTGTTTTAGTTTATTTTATATCTCCTTGCAATGGCATTTATGGAAAATCGATGTTTGTATGTTTCTAGCAATAATGGAAATATGAATTTGATTCTTTCATTAGTGGTAGTGTCTAAATTTACCAAATAAGGAAAGATTCTCATCACCCAAGGTTTCAATTGGACCGAAACTTGGAATCATGCAAGATGTATTGTATGATGAATGAGAATGCTCATCTTTGGAAAAATTAAGACTAATTTCTTGTTCACATATATATGTAAGTTAAGTGAAGAACTAAGGGATCTAGTACACATTCTTGTGCACTGGTCAAGTCCACGACAACATATCGATAAGACTATTCGTCATGATTTTACTAAATTTAGTAAACATGGTTATAGTTACAAGTTTAAGTATAATTCTGAAACATTGGAAAAGTTTTGATGTATGGCAGAATGAATGAGAAGAATCAAATTTGGCAGAAAGATAAAAGTTTCTCAAATCTGAAAAGATGGGAGAGTACTTTAGTATCATGTTTTATGATCATCTTAATGATTGTGAGACCATATCACAATTCATCCTCTAAGGACATCCTAGTGCATTCTTATGGCTAAGTAGAGGAGTCATGAATTGTTGAAGTGCTTAAATCAAGAAGATGAGTCATACTTCGTTCCAAAACAAGTCTTAGAGTCATATTCCAAGATAGTAACTTGAGTGACACATCTTAAATAAGGTTTATAAGACTTGTCAAATGTAAGATTAAAATGTGTTCTACTATTGTACATCTGAAATTGGTAAGTTGTGCTGTTTTGGAAAAAACAAAGGCCAACTAAGGCCAATTGTGTGAAGTGTTTGTCTTGATAAAGAATTCGCACTATATCTTGAATATTTGGCAAGAGAGTCTTATATGTCAAGAGGACAATGGGAGTCTAAAATATCCTGAAAGAGTTTCAAGATCTAATCAAGAATAAAAAATGTAGTTTATCGCTAGCACCCGAGTTGAGGTTTATAACCTATCGTGTCGACATACTCCTATTTCTATGCCCATTCTAGTTTAAGTTGGCATTGCATATGAGTTCTGAGAGTTCTCTATTGGTTG